CACAGATGGAGGTCAGGGTGGCCTAACCCGGAGACGAAGGCTTGGCAGGCTTCTGAGGGTGGAGATGGGAACTGGGCCTTCTGACAAAAAGGCCTGCACAGGCTGAGCCTGCCAGCTGCTGTGCGTCCTGAGATGTTTGAAAAGAGGCTGCCTTTGGTTAACCCTTGCCATTTGGATGTTAAATGCCTACCCTCCCAGGTCCTCGAGGACCCGCCCTTAAAGGAGACTGGTGGACCTTTAGTCTCTGTCCTGCATCCGCCCCCCCACCCGTATCCCATGTGTGTTGTGTGTGTGTGTGTATGTGTGTGTGTCTTAAGTATTATTTCTCAGGGTCTCATCCACTACTTTTTGTTTTGTTTTGACACAAGATCTTCCACTGGCCTAGAACTCAACAAGCAGGCTAAGTTAGCTGGCCAACAAACCCTACGGAACCCCTTGTTTCCGCTCCCCAGCCCTGGGATTACAAGTATTTACCCTCATGTCCAGCTTCTTAAAGTGGATCCTGGCATCCAGTTCTGGACCTTATGTAGGAAAGGCAAGCAATTTGCCAACTGAGCTGTCTCTTCGATCCCTGCTTTTCTTCTTCTCTTCCTTTGCTTCCTAGCCAGGGGATGAGCAGTTTGCTCCGCCATCCGCACACTTCCGTTGCAAACCAGAAGCCACACAACCCAAGGCTTAACAGCAATGGGTCTTTCTGATGATGGTCTAAAACCGTGAGCCATAACAAACCTCTTGGCTTGAGGAATAATTTGTTACAGTGATAGAAGACTGACTCTCATGCTGGACTGAGAAGCAGGTCCCACTGTAAATCCCAGGGGAGAGCAGAAGAGACACCACGTGGAGCGTCCCCCTGTGCCAAGACCTTATTGCAGGCACTGGGGACATTCAGGCCAGCCACATAGGACAGTACCAGGAAACAGCCAACGTTTACTGAGAAGCTGTTCTGACTGTGCATGAACAGTATCCCAATCAATCTTCAACACCTCCTGCAGGGAGCTGATATCATCACTGCTCGTTAGTGTTATTGAGATTGATAAGAACATCAGTATTAATAGGAATGAATACTTATTGCCACATAATTTCTAAGACAGAGAAGTAACGGCTTCAGCGGTTAAGCTGTTGCCTGGAAAGTCAGTTGATGACCGAGGGTGAGGGTTGAGATTCATTTCGGGGCTCCCTTACCTCTGGACCCGGCGCCTTCTGTGCCATTTGTGCCCCACTGCAGGGCCTGAAGCCTAGCTGCCTCACTCACCACCTACATGATGCTTTATGCCTACATGAGTGACTTTACGCCCCTGTGCTTTCTCAGCGTGTGTGGAGAGGGGCTAGGAACGGCGCCTCACTCTCGGAACTGTGAAGAATCAGTGAGTTCACATTAGTGATTGTTACCACTGCTTCTGATGCTTTTTAATTTTAGTTATGCCAGAGGAGCTGGTTGGGTATGCCAGCTATCAGTGTTGTCTGTCTGGAGGGCACAGAGGACGCAGTCCTTCCTTTCCTGTCTTCAGCCTTTCCATTCAATAGTAAGTGGTTATTTGGTCCTGAGGTAAACAGTCCAAGATGGCTGCCTCTAGGCCAGGAGGGCCGTACGTGGAACACCAGTCATAGGAGACTGTGTTCTTCCTTTGTGTCTATTCGGATTCTGCCAGTTGAAGTGTTATCCAATGATAATGACAACAGATCACATCCACTAAGGCATTACAGGGTCCCTTTTTGTATTTTGGGTCACCTGATCACCTCAAGCAAGATTAGGAAGTAGTTAATGGAACCCTCTTTATATACAGCTAAAGAACTCGGGCCCAGAGGTGCAAATTGACTTGTTCAACATCAAAAGGTGGGTTTGCTGAAGTTCAGACCCCAGCAGAAGGCGTCCCAAGGCATATTTGTAAGCTCTGTGCTTACTTCCCAATCTCTGTGGTTTCTGTGTGACTCATTGTCTGGGCGGTCTCCATACGTGCTTCCACTTGTGAAGAAGGTGTTGGTTGTCACAGAAAGCACCAAATACTCTCTGTGAGAGAATTTCCGCGAAGAACGGATTTCTTTAAGTTTATTCTCTATGTCTGTGAGTGATGGGTACTAGTCAGGATCTGTCCGTGAGACAAACACAGTGCTGTAACAAATATGCCCCCAGAGTTAAGTGGTCTATCGCAGTGAAGATTTCCTCCCAGAAAAGCAGAAGGAAACCTTCCTTCAAGCGCTTACTCAGGGATCCAGGCTGTTTCCACCTTGTGCCTTGTCCCCTTGTTTCCATGGTCACAACCAAATGAGATGAAAAAAAAAAAACAAAAAACAAATAAATGCCCTGACCTGCATTACACATACCTTCAGTTCCCTCATTGGCCAGGAGAGTGATATGGCTCCAACTAGAGCAGGTAAGCAAGTTGAGGAGCATGTGGCCTTTTGCTTCCCAGATCCTCCATGAGTGCTCCCTCAGTGAGCAAGCCTCAGTCATAGCCCCAGGTCAGGAACAAACGAACCCTGTGAAAGAGCCCTCTTCTTATCAATTATGGTCACGTATTTATTGGATGGAGGCACTTTTAATCTGTCTTCATCCAATAAATATTTTTTCTAATGTTCCCTTTCTCCCAGGCATTTTATTTCTGGGGATATCAGTGAATGAATCAGGAAAATACCACCCCTTCAGAGAGTTAGCCTTCTCTTAGCAAATAGGGAAGACATACAATAAACATAGAAAATAAGAAAGGAGAAGGATGGCTTGTGAGTTGTTGGGTAAAAAGGTGGAACATAAAATATGGAAAGACTGTGCGTGTAAGTATACATGTGTAACTGTATGTATATGTTCGTTTGCATGTGTGTTAATGACTATGTAAGTGTCTGAGTGTGTACAAGTGTTTGTGATTGTGATTATGTGCATGTATGTGTACGTGTATGAAAGGGTGTATGGTTGTGTATGTGTGTCTAAGGGCATGTATGTATGTAGTGTTTCTGTAATAAACAGTGAGCCTGTGAAGTGTGTATGAATGTGTATGTGTGCACATGAGTGTAAGACTGTATAAGTGTATGTTTATATAAGCATGTATATGAAATATTTGTATAAGAGTGTGTGGGCCTGTGAAAGTATGTGTGTGTTTGTATGAATGTGTTACTGTATGTACTCATGAGTGTGTAAGATGGTATAAGTGTGCACAGATTTGTGCATGTGTAAGTGTGTATTTGTTTAAGTGTGTGTATATTTCTAAGATTATGTGTACATGCACAAGTGTATTTGTGTATGTGTGATATTTAACTGTATGTGTATGTGAGTGTGTATGTGTGTATAACTGTGTGAGTATATGCATGTAAATGCATGTGTGCATGTGTGTGTTAGTGCATGTAAGCATGTGTGAATATGGATGTGTGTGTATGTGTGTATAACTGTGTGAGTATATGCATGTAAATGCATGTGTGTATGTGTGTGTTAGTGCATGTAAGCATGTGTGAATATGGGTGTGTGTGTGTGTGTGTGTGTGTAGGGGAGCAGTTTTAAACATGATGGGCTAGGACAGGCTTTCTGGGAAAGTATTGTCGGCCCGAGGCCCAAAGAATGTGAAGAACGCAGCAGAGCTGGGGTACAGGCCTTCTGGGAAGAGTGGGTGATCCAAAGGCTCTGAGGCAGACAAGCATCTTGCATGTTGATGAGCAGTGAACCCGTTACAGTGGCTTCAGAGCGGAGCACTGGGAGCTGCAGTCCTGGTTTGGGGACACTGACCCTTTGGGGTATCATAGCCAGTGTAAGAATGTTTGCTGTTACAATACTAGCCCCTCCACCCCTCTCCCCAACCTCTAATACACTGTACCTCTGCTCCTCACAGCGACTCTCAAACTTGAACAGGCTTTGGAATCACCTGGGAGACCAAGCAGACTTCTGCTGTACATGTCCCCACATTGCTGGCGGGAACGGAAAACCTGAAGTTCCAGCAGCATCCAGGGGATACAGTCAGTGAGCTTATGTCCCCACCAAATTCACATGCTGACTCCTATCCCGGTCTGGTAGCATCTATTTACCTGGGGAATCCTTAATTCGTCTTCAGTAAATATTCGCGGAATGAGGTTAAGCCCTCTGGGACATGACAGGCTCACAAGATCAGAACCCTTCGGAGTGGAATTAATGCCACAGAAGTCCCAGGGAGGGTGGAGCTCAATGGCTGAAAGGACTTCCTGTTCTTGTTGGGGACCTGAGTTCAGTTCCCAGCACCCACATCAGGCAGCTAATACTCCAGCTCTGGGAGAGGGGGCTGTCAGATCCCTCCGAGCTCCTCGGGCAACCTGCTCACATGCATGCATGTGTATGCAAACACATAATTAAAAATAATAGAAAATAGATCTTAATAAGGAAGGAAGGAAAGAAGGAAGAAAGGAAGGACGCAGTCACTAAGAGCAGGCTGGCTGGCCCTTCCACCATGTGAGAATGAAGACAGTAGTCGGCATCATCTCTGGCTAGGAAGAGAGCAGACTCCAGGCCCAGGTCCTGTTTTGAACTTGGGCCTCCAGCCTTCACCAAACTGTGAGATACGTTTGGTGTTTAAACCACCCAGGGAGTGTGTTCTGTTACAGACTGACGGAGTGTAGCGCCTGCACTATGGGATGATAAGCAAGCCGGGAACCAGGCTGGAGATTTAAACACATAAAGACACACAGGTCATCCTTGATACAAGACGCCTCTTTATTGTGCTCCAGGGACGCTTATATAGGAATCCTTAACTGATAGCCACGCCCCAACTCCTGGGATTTCCAGCTGTAAAACCCACCAGAACCCACTCCCCTGCCATCAGGAACCCATGAGGGCCTCGTGCTCAGAGTAGCTGCAGCCACAGGAAAACAAGTTGTTTTGCTCCGTTCACTCCAGCAGGCAAAGGGTCTGAGGCAGGCAAAGAAAGTCAAGGGGCCAGGGGTCTGCGGCCCCCAGAAACAGAGACTTGGGGTCACACTGACTCGGGGCTCCACTCTGGGAGATGAGCGCCATCTTTTCCATGAGACTCTTGGTTTTTGCTTTCACGATGCTGGAGCTCAACCCCGGGGCCCTGCACGTGCTAAGCAAGTGCCCTGCGTCTCAGCCCCACTTCCAGTTTCCTCCTCATGTTAGACCTTCCCACTCCCCCAGGACCACCTGCCCTCATTCCTCACACAACAGCCACACCAATTACAAGGCCTAACGCAAGACCCCAGGTTCTCGCTCAGAAAAACAGAGGAGAAATGGGCATTTTCTGACTGTAAACATTGCCGTTGAAAAGCTTTTTACTATCAAAAGTTGATAAGTGTAGTAACATTAAATAACTATAGATTCTTAATGGAAAAGATATTCTGAGGTCATAATTTTGTGTAATAAGCAAATACTCTACATTGTTGCGTTGACCTGGCAAGTCATAAGCTGTTTCAGGCTTGCTCTCTTGCCTATTCACTTAAATGGTGACGATCACCCGTTCAGCAAATCCATTTTCAAATGACGCCATCGAAAGCAATGCCAGTTGCTGTTGGCCAAGGGAAAACCAAATACTTTCAGATAAATTTAACTTTGATAATAAAATCCAATACAGGTGTTCCTGGAAACAGGTGTTCCTGGAGACAGGTGTTCCTGGAGACAGGTGTTCCTGGAGACAGGTGTTCCTGAAGACAGGTGTTCCTGGAAACAGGTGCCATGACTTCATAGGCCGATGATGTCAGGGTATAGAGTTCTGAAAAATGACTTGAAATATGAATTTTAGTAAACCTTGTGGTGAAAACATGTGGAGGACTACTTTTATGAAAGATTTAGCTCTTTTTACAGTCAGCTTCAAATATTTCAGTATTAATTATTACGTTTTCTGATAGATCCTGAGATGTGTGTAACTGGGGGTCGTCATGGTTTGTATATAATTTAGGATGTCTTTTTGTGTCCTTAGTGGCCGTATATCTTCAGGCACCCGGGAAATTAATTCAAAGGATATTTAGCCAGTAGCTGCCAGTTCATCGGAAACTCTGTATGAAGTTGGTGTTTCATTGTGTCAGACAGAACGATCTTCATATTTAAATTCTATTTCCAAGCCTGTGGAAGTGCGGCTTGTAATGCGCCACCGGTTCTCAAAACCAGAGGTTCTAAACAGCTGAAAATAACGGCAACAGTCTCATTATGTAGCTCAGAGTATCCGGAAACTCACAATCCTCCTGCCTCTGCTCAGTGAGTCCTGGGGTTACCCACCACACCCCTAGTATCCTTTACTGGCACGTGCCTGTGAACGTTCTTATTTATTAATTAACTTTATTAAATTTATTAATAACTTACTGAGGAACTTTCTCCCTGGGCATCAGCAGCCACTGTCCCGGTGTTGACTGGAGAGTTACTATTTGTCTAGATGCCACAGGGAAAGTCGTGGATGGGCAGAGAAGCTGTGTCCACCATGTTCCCCATGCTGCCCTCAGAGGAGGCCCTCCTCCCTCCCACAGCTGTTACTGCTGCTGACCCTGCCTCCACTACTCCGGTTGGCACAATCACCTTAGACTCAGGCCCCGCTTGTCACTCTTCCAGCTTACACGTGGGTCCTACCATTGTTATACTCACAAGCTGAGCTTGCCCGTGGATGGTAGCTTTCTGTTACTACAACAAAATGTCCCCGGGTGATTCATTCAGGAAGAGGGAAAAGTTCGTTTCAACCTCCAGGTTTGGAGTTTCTTCCCCATAACTGGGTGACCCCATTCCTTTGGACCTGTGACCATCGTGGAAGCGTGTGATGGAGTAGTTACGCTTTCGCACACATTATCCACAGTAAAGCGTCTACTCCAGTCCAGGAAGTCTAACGTACCCCACCTCTCACTGGATGGGTATGTGACAAGAAGACATCAAAGACCGTTTTCTCAGCAAATGTCCAGGGTGTGGACTCTGGTGTCATTCGTTAATCTTCACGATGTACTTTCAGTCACTAGGCTCGTTCATCCTGCAACAGCACAGCCTCATACGGTTTGGCCAGTGTCTTCTCGTTTCCTGCTTCCTCTGCTAACCGTAGATTTGCTGTGTCTTTGCTTTCCCCTTTGTCTGCCTTGTAATTCTGTGTTTACTAAAACATCATTGTTCATGCGCTGTCTGTCTGTGTCTGTTGGTGTTGCGGCAGTAGGAATGTTTGGCTCCTGAGACCTACAACACTTGCGGCCTGGGATTTTATGCATTAGATTTTCTGACAGTTGTACTAGACTATAAACTCCACAAAGGCAGGGATCACATCTGTCTACATCATGGCTGTGTACTCCAGGCCTAGAGCAGGGCCTGGCATGAAGAACATGCTCATTTAAACTTCCTTGAAGAAAAAAAAAATACAGAAAAATTAACTATGTAATTGCTACTATTTCTTTCTTTCTTTCTTTTTTTTTTCTTTTTTTTTTTTTTTTTTTTTTTTTGGTTTTTTGAGACAGGATTTCTCTGTAGCTTTGGAGCCTGTCCTGGAACTCACTCTGTAGACCAGCCTGGCCTTGAACTCACAGAGATCCACCTGCCTCTGCCTCCTGAGTGCTGGGATTAAAGGTGTGCACCACCACCAGGCTATTTCTTTCTTTTTCTTTTTTTGAAAACTTTTCTTTAAGAGAGATGGCTCAGAGGTTAAGAGCATTGCCTGCTCTTCCGAAGGTCCCGAGTTCAATTCCCAGCAACCACATGGTGGCTCACAACCATCTGTAATGGGGTCTGGTGCCCTCTTCTGTCCTACAGACATACACACAGACAGAATATTGTATACATAACAAATAAATAAATATTAAAAAATAAAGAGTATTTCTCTCTTTTAAAAAAAAAAGATTTCACTTATTGTGTATACAGTGTCTGCCTGCAGAGGGCACCAAATCTCACTACAGATGGTTATGAACCACCATGTGGTTGCTGGGAATTGAATTCAGGACCTCTGGAAACGCAGACAGTGCTCTCAACCTCTGAGCCATCTCTCTAGCCCTTGCACTACTATTTCTGAAGTTATCTATTTTCTTTAAAACAAGTCATGTAAAGCTTATGTTTGACTACACTTTAAAATGCCCGTATAAAAAGGATGTTTGGGATGACTTACCTTACTGCGAAACCGACTCTTTGGGAAAGCGGCAGGTGTTTGTCCTGTGATTCACACGTCCTCGGGCACATTGCCCCCACCCCAGTCTGCAGAGGCAGTTCATGGAATACATGTCATCATCACTCAATACTTATTGAGCAGACCAGGGGCCACCAGGTGTGAGGCCGGAGATGGCAATGACACCGTCACGTCTGACCCATCAGAACAAACAGAGCTGGGAAGTCAACGGGAAACAGACTCACCGATTCATAAAAAAGGCAAGTACAGATCCATAGCGACCTGAGGAGGGGTGTCAGGGGAAAGGGGGAGACCCAGAGGCACGCAGTGGCTGTTCCAAACCAGCACATATTCCTCTTGACTGTAGGGTCAGAAAAAGCTGCTGCCCAGACCCTGTCTGGTCTCAGATCCCAGATAAGGCCTAGAAAGGTAGTACTCTGTAAAAGGAGTATTACCAACCCTGATTATGGAGAACTGATAAAACCGGAAGAATGGATCAAGAGACTAGCAGAAGATTAGAAAAAAAATTAAAGAATTAGAATGGTGTGATCCAAAGCACACATACTCAACACTTGAGAAAGAACAGATATGGTAAAGATTAAGAATCTTCTGTAGGCAATGGTGTTAGGATCTCTCCAGTTTGGAAAACCATGATGTACTCAGGACACGTCAACGGGAATGGGGAGGGAGCAGATTTTCGATCGGAAAGTACATACAACATACATTCAGAAAGTTAGGCACGGAAGTCATCTCAACTAGTACATATTCAGGTCTTATGAAGAGCTGGAACCTACTCAGGTCACCTGACCAATCACCTTGGCTTCATTCCTATTGGATGCCTTTGGCTTGGGGTAACTGGTATGGCCAGGACAACAGTGGCACAGGAAGCAAAACGGCAAGGCTACCATTTCCAGAAGTTGCCAAGGAGCCAGTAGGTTCCATAGTGGATTCTGATGGTTACACTTTGACACTGAGAATAAAGATTGGGTTGTAGGCCGAGGAAACCTTGGGAACACCTGGTTACCGCCAATTTTAAACATTCCATGTGAGTTTATTTGTTATATAAGATCAACAATCGACCCTCAGTTTTTTAAGGCAAAAAAGCCAGAGATTATTTATGACCAAATTTTCCAACAAGTCCCAGAAAGCCGATTCACAGAATAGCTACTGTTTATTTTTTTTATTGCTGTCTTTCATGGGGACTTTGCTCAACTCTTAGAGGAACAATTTTGTGATTAGCCTGAACGAGGGTTGGTTGCGGTGAGGTTGGGGTTTCCTGACTGCCTTGAGAGTAAAATGCTCTCCTTGCTGAGGAAAACAAGCAGAACAGCCCAACCCTCTGTGACTCTTTCCAGAACCCTCTGTGGACAACACATGTCCTAGAATTGCAGAGGCCCGGAGCTTGCAACACATATTCCAGGGATACGTTGGTACAGCTCAGCTGTGGGAGCCTCTTTGTGTAAGAGAGAGAGAGAGAGAGGAGAGAGAGAGAGAGAAGGTACATAGAGGTTTCTAAGCTGATACTTGGAAAATCTATTGACGGAGCAGAAGCCTAAGGGACACGCTGGTATTTGCCTTTCAAGTCCTTGCTAAGGACAAACAGGGCACCCTCTGCAGCTCTACCCAAGAGGAACTATGTCTATTTTTCATTTAACCCTTAAGGGAGAAGCACCTCAACACCCAATAAATCTTCTTAACCTTATTAAAATGAAAAGTAATGAAGTAGACGTCTGTAAATGAAAGAAAAGCAGCTTTTCTCTGACAGTCCTTCCATAGGACACAAGTTGTAGTTTTTATGTATTGGTCTTTAAAAAATATATTTTTTAAATGACTTATTTTTTTTTAATCTCATGTGTATTGGTGTTTTACCCGCATGTATGCCTTTGTGGGAATGTTGAGTTCCCTGGAACTGGAGTTATAGACAGTTGTGAACTGTCATGTGGGTGCTAGGAATTGAACCCAGGTCCTCTGGAAGAGCAGCCAGTGCTCCTAAGCACTGAGCCATCTCTCCAGCCCCTTAACAGCCTTCTGACAGCCCCCACCAGTTTACTATATAGACCCATAGAACTGGAAGGCTGACTCTGGCACCTGGCACCTGGCACCTGTGCGATCTGGCAAACTTCCTAAATTCTAGAGGCTTCCATTGTCCCATCTGAGAAATAAAGATAATAACGGTACCTATATAAAGATTAAATGGGAACATCTTTGGAGTGACTAGCTCAATCCCTGGCACGCACTGGGGCAGCTGTAACTGTTAGGATTATTTATCATGAAAATAAGAGAGCTGCAGGTTCGAGAGATGGCTCAGCAGCTAGGAGAACTTGCTGTTCTTACAGAGAACCTCGAATGGATTCCTAGCACCCCACCTTCTGCGAACACTCCCCTCCTCCCGCGGTAGCTCACGACCATCTGTAACTCCAGTGTCCTCTTCGGGCACAACATGCTTGTGGTATGCTTACATATATATAGGCAACTCACGCATACACATACAATTAAGATGATCTAAAATCAGGGAGCTTGGGAAAGCTAGCTGGTTAGGAGATGTTAGTGTTGTCAGCTGTTATTCCTAACAGCTGAGCCCCACCCCAGCCTCTCCTTTGCACTGTGAAGAAGTTTCTGGAGAAAGATGGTGGTGACATTCGCTCAGCAACGTGGTTGCACATAACTCTGTGTAAAAGTGGTTTAACACGCTAAGCTGCGTGTTCTGTATATTTTATAAGATGAGTCAATGAATTAAAATTGAAGCTATTTTTAAAAAATAAACAGCAGACAGACAGACAAAAACGCTTTAGGAGTTTTATTCTCCATGACGTTTAGCCTTGCTAAAACTTTGGTTACTCACTTTGGTAGATCACCATTTGGGCTGTAAATGTCCATCAAGGTACATGTGGTAACAGCTGGATTATCTGCCTGTGGTACCAGCAGGAGGGGGGGCAGAGGTTTTGGAAGTGGGGCTTCAGAAGGGAGGAGGTAGGCCACCGGGGTGGGGGTGTGCCCTTTAAGGGATGGGGAAGATTTGCAGAAAGAGGGCAGGATGGGAGAGGTAGGACTCGGGGATGGAGGAGGCCTGTTTAACTCTGATTTCAGTCAGAACAGTTGCTGGCGCCTTTAGATGAAAGTTGTCCCAGCCTTCTCCACTTTCTCCTAACGTCATAACGTAAGGCGTGCCAGGAAAGGCGGCTGAGAACTTGAGTTCCAAGCGTGAGGCTGAATTCTCTGTGGTTTTTTTTCCCCCTTTGTAATGATTTTTTCTTTCTTGTCCCCCACCTTCTCTGGGTCCCCTCTTTATCACAAAAAGGAAGTGCTTCCTCGGTGGTGGCCAAAGAACTTTCCAGAAAAAGGTAGGAACATCTTTTCTCATGACTGCCTCCAATTTGCTGGCCCGTGAGCATGTTCCCTAAGGAAACCCAAGCCCTATGATGAGCCCCCTCCCAAACCTGCCCTTTTGTGTGAAGGGTTTCTAAGGTGAGTATATTTCTCTTTGTCCTAGGTCTCCTCAAGGGTAGGACAGGGGGCCCTGGTTGTGGCCGTTCAAGAGTCCAGTACCACTTCTTTCAAGTATCCTCAGGAAGATCCAAACTGGGAAAGAAGACAGCTCAGCATGGGCTGCTGATAAGCCATCTTTTCAGGAGGCCATTGAAGAAGCGAGATCCTCCCACTAGTCAGTGAACTGGAGAAAATGTGAACATCAAAGTAAATGATGATGGCTTGGGGGAGGGAAGAAGAGCGCTTGCCTACCATATGCAAGAGCATCAGGTTCTACCTCAGCACCACATAAACAGTGTGGCGGTGCATGTCTATAATTCCAGCACTTGGGAGGCAGAGGTAGGAGGATCAGAAGTTCAAGGTCATCTTTCGCTAGGTAGCGAGCTGAAGGCAAGCCTGGGATACATGAGGCTGTCTCAAAAAATTAAATGAAGTAATAATGGCAAAAGCCATTAGTTCCCAATTCCCACTATAGCCCATTGATTATAGAGTGGGACGTCATGAGTCCACATCCCCAAATGAATAAGTAGAAAATTCAGACACACAAAAAAGATATTTATATACTTTAAATTACCTCTCTCAATATACTTACTAATTACAAAGAGCAATCACAGTTCTGGCAGATGCATCCTTCTGCAAAAAGATTAAAAGAGGATGGCCAGCTGAGTTCTCAGTCCATCTGCCAGGCTGCAGCAAAAGGACCCCAGCATCACCCTTGTGCCATGCCTGGCTGAAGATGAATGCCTGACTCTTATGGGAAACACAGAAAGTTCCAATTGGAGGATCTTTCTGTAACGTAAGTTGTCTTCAAAAGAGTCAGGGTCATGAAAGGCAAAGACCTAAACACTTTCAAACTGAAGCATAGGAAAAGACAGGAAACTAACCACATACAGCTTTGTTCCAGGTCTCTTAACCATGAAGGGCATTATTGGGACAACTGGTATACCTTCAGATGGGGTCCAAAGTGTGGGCAACAATGTTCACATTTTGGTGATGGCTGAACTGTGACTATGCAGGATGGCATGCTTGTTTGTAGGACTTATACACTGAAATGTCCAGGGTGACTGGATATCACAGCAACAACTGGCATATCTGATCATTTAAGGAAAAATTCTGTATACTGAGCTCTTGGTTTTAAATAAATGTTACCATGTCTCAAAGTGAAAAGAGAGGGAGGAAAGGAAGGGAGGAAGGAAGGGAGGGGGAGAGAAAAGAACAGAGGAAGGAAGAAGGAAGGGAGGGAGGGAGGAAGGAAGGAAGGAAGGAAGAAAGGAAGGAAGGAAGGAAGGAGGCGGCACCATTACAGTGAGGTTCATTCAGTTGGTCCTAGCTTCAAGCCTTGGCTTCTCCTTGAACTTGTGGAGCCCGTTTAGAGATTCCTGTAAGAATGTGTACCGGTTGCTTTAGTAGCATCTAAGGGGAGAGGTTTACTCAGATGCATGATATGGAGATGCAGTCCATAAGACAGAAAGGGCATAGAAGCTGAAGTGACTGCCTGTGGCAACAAGAGTTGGTGGCAACTTCTTTACTTGTTGGTCAGCCAGGAAGCAGAGGTTGGGTCAGAAGCAGTGTTTTCAAGGCTACCCACAGTGACCTATTTCTGCTAAGTAGACCAAAGCTTCCACAGCTTCCTAATAATTCAAATCTTAGTAAGACCTGTGTGGAACTGGGTGGAGGCAGAGGGAGGAAGGAAGAAGGAAGAGGAGGCAGTATGAGCAACAGGTAAATGTCTGTACTTAATCTGGTGACAGCGCAATACTTGAT